CACACACACAATAATGTTTGCACCTCGTGTACGAGGATGGCCGCCCCTAGGGTCCCTAGTCACCTACACAACAAGTCAACAACCACACCCTAAGTTAACGAGCTGTACGACCCAGTGTCAAGGAATAATCCGAGAAGACCTGACAACTCGCCAACTGCACTGGCTGACAGCCTGACACCCACGTTCTCAGTTACTGCTGGGTAGACAGAGATGAGCATGCTGACCATTACACACACGCGCGCGCGCACACACACACACACACGGTATTCGCTAACCCTCACATTAACGAAGAGGGACTTTTAACGAGTCATCATTACGTGGGCGTATAACGAAATGAGGCGTCCCATTTATTTAATCGTACCTAACCTTAACTTTAGTTTAAACGAACCTTAAATCCTAGTGATTGACTTTAAACAGAACAATTGTCTCTTTAATCTGGCTACACTTTGAGTGGAATCTATTAGATAAAACTGAAACAATAACGAGGAACCGAAACTGAATTTACCTATTAAAATCGCGGATTTGGTGTGTGTAATAATAATAATAATAATAATAATAATAATAATAATAATAATAATAATAATAATAATAATAATAATAATAATAATAATAATAATAATAATAATAATAAACAGTTTAGTGAAAGAGCATGGCAGCCAGAAGGCTGAAAATATACAGTTACATAATTGGGGAACTGGTCACTTGATTGACAAATAATATACAAGTAACATAAGTGATAAAAATGTGATATATAATAATGTGGCACGAAGGTCATACTACAGGACATTTCAACATAGTAACAATGCAAAGGGGTAAGATTGGCTGGGAGTGAATACACTGGTTGATTACGAGTTTTTGATAATTTTTACAATGGCTGGGACTGGGCTGTTCTTATAGTGATCAGTACGTCCTCGTACGGGCTGGATGCGGTTGTGGTGTTGAACAACAAATTCGCGGAAGAGGGATCTCGGGTGGAAGTGGGAGCCGGTGTCGAGGATGGTGCAGAAGCTTCTCACCAAATTTGCAGATGAGTTCGTGGTGATGGTCAGAGAGAGCCGAGAGGGTCAGTGTGTTGAGCGCTTCTTGATATGTGGAGTAGGAAGGGGAGAGAATAATCTTGCATGCCCTCTTTTGCACTTTTTCGAGGTGCTTCCGTTGGCATTTAGGGAGGAAGACCAGGCAGGGGAGGCGTAGGTGAGCTAGAGAAGTATTTTAAAGGTGTGTGTGTGTGTGTGTGTGTGTGTGTTCACATTACCTTTAAAATAACACCTTAATTAACTCATCAGGAAAGGTAAGGTTGTCACTCCCACCACCTAATCATCGTCCTAATCAACTAGCCCAATCCTCTATCCAAAATTATGAGGCTAATCTACTATATAATCCAAGTGTCCAATCCCCTACCCACTGAACAGAGCCCAATCGAAATCTAATCCCAGACCAATTCCAACAAACCAATCTTCCATCTACCCAATTAGATCAATCTTTCGTCAATATTACTACATCACTTCTTTAACCCGTTAACCCAATCCTCCATACACTATATTAAAACCATCCTCCATACACTATATTAAAACAATCCTCCATACACTATATTAAAACAATCCTCCATACACTATATTAAAACAATCCTCCATACACTATATTAAAACAATCCTTCATTCCAATCCTCCTCTGTCATCTATTACATAAGAACACCCAGAGCTTTTCATCCCCCAAAAATCACTGTGTGTAAGAGTGAGAGAGGGAGAGAGAGAGAGGTGATTAAGAGAAAGATTGGGTGTGATTAGGACCCGTTTGTCCAGTCATTGTCGACCAATCACTGGATAATGGAACACCATCACCCTGCCCCCCCCCACCCTCTCTCTCTTTCGGAGGCCAACAAGAAACAACTGGTGACTATATTCTTTCTTTATTGGTTACAAGCTATGAAGGTGTTGGCATCACAATCTATCTTTGATGTTTTCGAGACAGCTTCACCAAGATGGTTCGTTGTCTCGCTCATACCTCAGCACGACACCCGCCAGCGAGATAGGAGCAAAGACTGACTGACGTGTATGTTGACGTGGCTCTCTCTCTCTCTCTCTCTCTCTCTCTCTCTCTCTCTCTCTTTAATGATAATCATCGCCATTCGGTTTATGTTTCGCATAAAGTCATTAATTTACTTTTCATTTCTTTCGTTTGTGCAACTGAATGTTCAACACTACTAGGATCTAATCTGCTATAATGTGTTTTTTCTCTCTGTTACCTCCACCTCTCACAGCTCTTTTTAATCCCCTAACCAACACCCCACGACAAAACTGTTCCAATGACTTGGTTGAATATCACACTGAACCATATTCTACCCACACCACAACCGCTTCCTGTACCTCCATCTCACTTCTTCATACGAGGAACTGCTTCACTATGACGTTTCATTGTTTCACTTCAACGATTTTATTCAGATGACAAGAACACTTAACATTCATAGGATTAGGTTAGGTTAGGTTAGTAATGATACTAGTTCTTTTATGTTGTCATCCTGTTCCAAGGGTTAAGACTTTTCTTCCCCACCACTACAACAGTAACACGTAAACTTTGGTACATTGTTGCTGCTGAAGATTGGATCCTAATGGTTCTTACTCGCGAGTAAATTGACTTGTGCTCGGTGGGAAAGGGGGACAGGAAGTGACGTCATTTTATAAAACATTAAGTTGTGTTTAAAAAAATCTTATTGGTGTGTTTGTTTACCTTGATGAGCCAGTAATCACAACGTGGCCTAACCATCCAGGGTCTAACACTTCAATGAGAGAGAGAGAGAGAGAGAGAGAGAGAGGTGGAATAATATTGGATGGAAGCAGTTGATGGTTGGATGGATAAGGGGGTACACGTACTGGAAATTGACCCCAGCCTTGTCAATCATCAATTATATCAGTTACAGTTGACTCACAGAAACCTCATCACCTCTAGTGGCCGCCCAGGGAGGAAGGGCGTGAAGGAGGGAGGGAGAGAGAGAGGGATGGAATATGAGAGGGACGGAGGGAAGTAGGGAGGGAGATAAGGAGGAAAGATAGGAGGGGGGAGAGAGGGAGAGAAGAAAGTAAGGAAGAAAGAACGGAAGGAAGAGAATATGGGAGGAAGGGAGAGAAGCAGGGAGGGGTTTAGGGAGAGAGGGAACACAAGAACATAAGAATGGAGGAAACTGCAGCGGGCCTGTTGGCCCATACTGGACAGTCCCGTTTACACCCAACCCCTATTGCTCATATAAGCATCCAACCTATGTTTGAAGCTATTCAGCGTATTCGAGTTAATGATGATATTTGGTAACATGTTCCATTCATCCACTTCTCTGTTTCCAAACCAGTGTTTACCTATTTCGCGCCTAAATCTAAATTTGTCTAATTTAAAACCATTGTTACGAGTTCGCTCCTGGTTGGATAATTTGAGTACCTTTGTAATGTCCCATTTGTTTAACCCTGACTTCCATTTATACACCTCTATCAGGTCGCCCCTCGCTCTACGTCTCTCCAGGGAGTGCAAATTAAGATGCTTTAACCTGTCTCTGTACTCAAGGTTCCTAATGCCCGGGATTAGTCTTGTCATTCTCCTCTGAATTCTTTCCAAGGATTCTATATCCATTCTGTAATACGGTGACCAGAACTGAATTGCGTAATCCAGGTGTGGTCTCACAAGAGCAAGATAGTTTAGGATAACCTCACTAGTCTTGTAACTAACACTCCTTTGTATGAACCCAAGTACTTTATTAGCCTTGTTACGAGCAAAAACACATTGTTTACTTGGCTTAAGGTTCCTACTTATCATTACTCCTAAATCTCTCTCGCAGTCGGATTTCTCTATGGCATCGTTGTTCATCTGGTATCTGGTTTCCCTGTTTACATCTCCTATACTGAGTACTTTACATTTGTCCACGTTGAATTTCATCTGCCATTTTTCAGACCATTCGAAAAATTTGTTTAGATCTTCCTGTAGTTTTGCGAGTCCTCGTCAGATTTAATAACACGTCCTATTTTAGTGTCATCAGCAAATTTACTTATGTTGCTGTCTATGCCGATATCTATGTCGTTTATGTATATAATAAATAATAATGGTCCAAGTACTGAGCCTTGGGGAACTCCACTAGTGACGTTGCTCCAATGGGACTTAGTGCCGTTAATGCTCACTCGCTGTTTCCTGTCCTGTAACCACGCCCTAATCCATTTAAGGATATTACCTTTGATGCCATGTGCTTCTACCTTTCTAATTGGTCTTTCGTGGGGAACTCTGTCGAAGGCTTTGCTAAAGTCGAGATATACCACATCATAATTGTGCCCCTCGTCCACCGATTCGAAAACACACTCTAACGCACCTTCTCACTCCCCTTCACACACTCTGACTCTCCTTCATACTTTCTCACTCTCCCTCGCATTATTGAAAACCCCGCTTTCAATCTTTTACTTTCCCTCATTCTTCCACGCCCCCTCCCACACACCCTCACTCTCCAACACCTCTCACACACCCTCACTCTCCTACACCTCTCACACACCCTCACTCCCCTACACCTCCCACACACCCTCACTCTCCTACACCTCTCACACACCCTCACTCCCCTACACCTCCCACACACCCTCACTCTCCTACACCTCCCACACACCCTCACACCTCCCACCTCCACCTCCCACACACCCCTCACTCTCTCCCCTCCCACACCCTCACTCCTCCTCTCCCCTACACCTCCACACACACCCTACACCTCCCTCCACACCTCTCACACACCCTCACTCTCCTACACCTCACACACCCTCACTCCCCTACACCTCCCACACACCCTCACTCTCCAACACCTCTCACACACCCTCACTCTCCTACACCTCCAACACACCCTCACTCTCCTACACCTCTCACACACCCTCACTCTCCTACGCCTCTCACACACCCTCACTCCCCTACACCTCCAACACACCCTCACTCTCCTACACCCACTCTCCCTGACTCTCCCTCACTCGTTCTTCCTGACTCTCCCGCAGGTGTCCACACCCCGGAAGCGAGCAGCCATCGTCCTCGACAAGCTGATGTTCGCCCTGCAGAAGGCCCTCGACGATTCACCAGCAGCTCCACCCGGCCAACCTGCCCCTTACTCCAGGCCCAGGACCTACGCTGCCGGCCCCGTGAGTCTCTCTATCTCTCTCTCTCTCTCTCTCTGTCACTCCGCCTGTTGCGTCACAACAATAAATGACATTAGTATCTACATTAATAACGAATCATTTACATTACCATATCCATACAACATTGTTTTTGTTTTTGTAATCAAATTGTTTTTCACATGTTTTTCAGTGTAACCTGTTTATATAATGATGGTTTATAACCCCCTGAGTACGATGATAAACTCCATGAATATAAAGAATTAACCCACTGATTACGATATCAGCGATAGTTTATAACACTTTGATTACGATAACTTTGAGTTTGATCCCTTGAGTACGATGCCAAAACCTTCCTCGTCACTTGGCCCGAACAGCGGACTAACTTGATAATAATCCTCCTCCACAGATGGACCTTCAACGGCGAGGCAATGGTGACGGACGACTCTACTGGAGGTGTTACTTCAACGCCGTGTCGTGCTTCTAACCGCCCCACCCAGCCACCGCCCTTAGCCGCCGCCCCAGCTAACATCCACAATACAACGTCTAATATATACTATTTACCCAAAGTGTCGAGCCACGGGCCTTACTCTGTTAAAAGGCGAGCCAGGGGTCAGTTTTACAATCTAATGGTCATGTTTGTGTCTTGAAAATGTTTACCTTGTCATTACTGATTGATCTGTTTTATTTTGTTTTACTGGAAAGAATTAACAAATATGTTTATGTTCTGTCGATTGTCACCTGATGATTCTTATTCTGATACAAGATTTATTATTATTTGTAGTAAATTAATCCTGACAGAATGACGGTAATAAATTTTCTTGGCTGTAATAAAAGCTGAGTTTGTGTAGTTGCCAATTATTGTCCTCAAAGTTCAACTGTACACGTGTTGTTTGCCATACTCTGTATATACATAATAAACTACCTACATAATAGTATCCGTGACATCATTTGGTCACTCAAGACGACGATTAAAAATGGTTACAGAATTTAATCAGTTCCCACCCAGAGGACCGATTTCTGTGATCAATTTAGGTAGTGACTTCCCAATACATGGAAGGTGATCTATGGTGCCGCGATGGCTTAAAATATTATTAAACAATATTAATGGTATATTTTGTCTTAACGGTTGATATATTATATACTCTAGTGCTATTTCAAACATGACTTTAGAGCAGGTTCAGTACCCGGGCGAACAGTGTGGTGAAGGTTATTGAGAACCCAAGAGACAAGGAAAGGCTGCATCTTGCCACTCACGCTACCAAGTGAGGTTTTATTTTCTTAGGAATATCTCCCAACTCTTACATGATCTACATTGATTTCTTTGAGTCTCGTTTTTAATATTACCATTACTTTAATATCAATAACCCGGAAAGATATTATATACGTTTGGTTCACAAGTCCAACAATGGAACAGTGAAAGAAAATTAACAGAGACGTAAGTGGCTAGACTGTTGTTGTCTCTCGAAGATTGTTGTCCTAGTGCCGAGTGCTGCATCGCTTACCTGTAACACTACATACAGCATTTAATGACAATCTTTATTATTACTGCTGTGAGATGTTGAAAGTTATCCAGAAATAAAGATTCAATTATTCTACAGTTGTCTCCTTACCCACAAATATTATGTTGTTTCTTCCTCTACGAATATATATGTACGTCTGATACGTTATAATGACAAACACAACCCAGTATTACCAGACACCCATAACCGCAATGCCTCAGTAGTGCCAGATACTCACCACCGCCACACCTCAGTGTTACCAGCTACAGTCACTCCTCTTCAGGCCAACATCACCATATTCATCCAGACTTTTACTTGCAAATGACAAATAAGAATATTCTCGACCTCAAAGGCTTTCTGTATCCCACCGAAGGCGCTTTCCCCCTCCCCTCAGGACACCCTTAGCTACCCCTCCCCCATGACACCCCATAACACCCCTCCCCTAGGACACCTGGCTAACCCCTCCCCAGCACACCCATAGCTACCCCTCCCCCAGGACACCCTGGCTACCCCTCCCCAGGACACCCTAAGCTAACCCCTCCCAGGACACCTTACTACCCCTCCCCCAGGACACCCTTAACACCCCTCCGCCAGGACACCCTTAACTACCCCTCCCCCAGGACACCTACCCCTCCCAGGATACCCATAGCTACCCTTCCCAGGACACCCTTAACTAACCCCTCCCCCAGGACACCCTTAACTACCCTCCCAGGACACCTTCCCCCCACTCCCAGGACACCCTTAACTACCCCTCCCCAGGAGCCCTTAGCTTCACCTCCCCAGGTACACCCGCCAACTACCCCTCCCCCAGGACACCCTTGCCTACCCCTCCCCCAGGACACCCTTAGCTACCCCTCCCCCCAGGACACCCTTAGCTTCTACCCCTCCCAGGACACCCTTAACTACCCCTCCCCAGGACACCCTTGCTACCCTCCCCAGGACACGCCAACTACCCCTCCCCCACGGGACACCCATAACTACCCTTCCCCGGACATAACTACCCTTCCCCAGGACACCCTTAGCTACCCCTCCCCAGGACACAGCAACTACTCCTCAGGACGCATAACTACCCCTCCGCAGGGAAGCCCTTAGCTACCCGCCCCACGACACTATAGCTACCCCTCCCCAGGACACCCATAACTAACCCTCCCCAGGAGGCCTTAGCTACCCCACCCCCAGGACACCCTTTAACTACCCCTCCCCAGGACACCCTTAACTGCCTCCCCCCAGGACACCCTTAATTGCCTCCCCCAGGACACCATGCTACCCCTCCTCCAGGACACCCCTTCCCCCTCCGCCAGGGGAAACCCCGCAACTCCCCTCCCAGGACATCCCCTTAACTACCCTCCCCAGGACACCCTTAACTACCCCTCCCCAGGACACCCTTAACTACCCCTCCCCAGGACACATAACTACCTCCCCCAGGACACCCTTAACTACCCCCTCCCCAGGACACCCTTAACTACCCCTCCCAGGACAGCCTTGCTCCCCTCCCCAGGACACCCTTAACTACCCCTCCCCAGGTACCCATGTCTCCCCCTCCCCAGGACATAACTCCCCTCCCCAGGACGCATAACTCCCCTCCCCAGGACACCCTTAACGACCCCTCCCCAGGACACCCATAACTCCCCTTCCCCCAGGACACCCCTTAACTTCCCACTCCCCCAGGACACCCTTAACTCCCCTCCCCAGGACACCTTAACTCCCCCTCCCCAGGACACCCTTAACTCCCCCTCCCCAGGACACCCTTAACTACCCCTCCCAGGACACCCCTTAACTCCCCCTCCCCAGGACACCATAACTACCCCTCCCCCAGGACACCCCTTAACTACCCCTCCCAAGACACCCTTACCTACCCCTCCCAGGACACCCGCCAACTACCCCTCCCCAGGACACCCTTAACTACCCCTCCCCGGGACACCCAGCTGCTTCACCCCTCCCCCAGGACACCCTTTAACTACCCCTCCCCAGGACACCCCATGCTACCCCTCCCCAGGACACCCTTAACTACCCTCCCACAGGACACCCATGCTTGCCTCCCCCAGGACACCCTTAACTACCCCTCCCCAGGACACCCTTAACTACCCCCTCCCCAGGACACCTTAACTGCCTCCCCAGGACACCCTTGTACCCCTCCCCAGGACACCCTTAACTACCCCTCCCACAGGACACCCTTAACTACCTCCCCAGGACACCCTTAACTACCCCTCCCCCCAGGACACCCTTAACTACCCCTCCCCAGGACACCCTTAACTACCCCTCCCACAGGACACCCTTAACCACCCCTCCCAGGACACCCTTAACTACCCCTCCCCCAGAACACCCTTAACTACCACCTCCATACTCCCCATCCTCCTTAGCCCTCTATCCTCACTACTTCGGCATCTTCTACATTTACTCCCCTCCTTATCTCTCCCCCTCTCTCCTTCGTCGTCTTCTCCATATCCCTCTCACTCTCTCCTGTCCATCTTTAACCATCATGCAACTCTCTGGCTCTCCTCTACTAGACCTTTCCACCCACCTACACCCTCTCCCGCCCAATCTCCCTCCCGCCCACACTCCCTCCCGCCCACACTCTTAACCCTCATCCCCACTGTGTATAATAAACGCCCAGCACTTTATCTCTAATAGCAAGATAGCTGATAAAGTAAAGCTGTATCCACATTTAGCATCTAGTACCTTAGTAAACTTCTATGTACTGAACTAAGTAAACAATGTAATGTACTGGAAATATTCTGCAACACTCAACACCACAATATACCAACTACTGGGATCTGATAAGCAACCTATGTAAACTTTTTTTGTGTGTTTGCTACCGCTCACAGGATGATTATGGGGTGCACAATAAACTAGTTCCTGTCCACGGCAAAAAAAAAAAATCCACTCCCATCTTCATCACCCGCACACCACCTCCTCACCCTCCACCACCCCTCCCTCACACCACCTCCTCACCCCTTCACCACCTACCTCACCCCTCCACCACCTCCCTCCACCACCTCCCTCACCCTCCACCACCTCCTTCACACCACCTCCCTCACCCTCCACCACCTCCCCTCCACCACCTCCTCACCTCCACCACCTCCCTCACCACCTCCTCACCTCACCACCTCCCACCACCTCCTCACCCTCCACCACCTCCCTCACACCACCTCCTCAACCTCCTACCTCCTCACCCTCCTACCTCCCTCACACCACCTCCCTCACCCTCCACCACCTCCGCTACCCTCCACCACCTCCTTCACACCACCTCCCTCACCCTCCACCACCTCCCTCACCCTCCACCACCTCCCTCACCCTCCACCACCTCCTCCCACCACCTCCTCACCCTCCACCACCTCCCTCACACCACCTCCCTCACCCTCCACCACCTCCCTCACCACCTCCCTCACCTCCACCACCTCCCCTCACACCACCTCCCTCACCTCTACCACCTCCTCACACCACCTCCCTCACCCTCCACCACCTCCCTCACACCACCTCCTCACCCTCACCACCTCCCCTCCACACCACCTCCCTCAGCCTCCAACCACCTCCCTCACCCTCCACCACCTCCTCCCACCCACCTCCCTCACCCTCACACCTGCCACCTCCCTGCCCTCCACCACCTCCCTCACCCTCACACCACCTCCTCACCCTCCACCACCTCCTTCATCCTCCACAACCTCCTTCACCACCTCCCTCACCTCCACCACCTTTCTCACACCACCTCCCTCACCCTCCACCACCTCCCTCACCCTCACACCACCTCCCTCACCTCCACCACCTCCCTCACACCACCTCCCTCACCCTCCACCACCTCCCCTCACACCACCTCCCTCACCCTCCTACCACCTCCCTCACCCTCCCACCACCCCTCCTTCACACCACCTCCCTCACCTCCACCACCTCCCTTCACACCACCTCCCTCACCCTCCACCACCTCCTTCACACCACCTCCTCACCCTCCACCACCTCCTTCACACCACCTCCCTCACCTCCACCACCTCCTTCACACCACCTCCCTCACCCCTCCACCACCTCTTCACCCTCACACCTCCTTCACCTCCACCACCTCCTCACCCTCCACCTCCTTCACACCACACTCCCTCACCCTCCACCACCTCCTTCACACCACCTCCTCACCCCTCCACCACCTCAGCCACACCACCTCCCTCACCCTCCACCACCTCCCTCACCCTCCACCACCTCCCTCACCCTCCACCACCTCCTTCCCACCACTCCCTCCTCACCCTCCACCACCTCCTTCACCCTCCACCACCTCCTTCACACCACCTCCCTCACCTCCACCACCTCCCTCACCCTCACCACCTCCTTCACACCACCTCCTCCCCTCCACCTCCTTCCACACCACCTCCTCACCCTCCACCACCTCCTTACACCACCTCCCTCACCCTCCACCACCTCCCTCACCCCTCACACCACCTCCCTCACCCCTCCACCACCTCCTTCACACCACCTCCTCACCCTCCACCACCTCCTTCCACACCACCTCCCTCACCCTCTTACCTCCTCACCTCCACCACCTCCTTCACATCACCTCCTCTCCTCCACCACCTCCCTCACCCTCCACCACCTCCTTCCCACACCCACCTCCCTCACCCTCCACCACCTCCCTCACCCTCACACCCTCCCTCACCCTCCACCACCTCCTTCACACCCTCCCTCACCCTCCACCACCTCCTTCACCACCTCCCTCACCCCTCCTGCCTCCTCACCCACACACCACCTCCTCACTCCCACCACCTCCTTCACACCCTCCTCACCCCTCCACCACCTCCCCTTCCCACCACCTCCCTCACCTCCACCACCTCCCACACCCTCCACCACCTCCTTCACACCACCTCCTCTCCCTCCACCACCTCCCTCACCCTCCACCACCTCCTCTCCCTCCACCACCCCCTCCTTCACACCACCTCCTCACACACCACCTCCTCACCATCCACCTCCCTCACCCTCCACCACCTCCTCACCCTCCACCACCAACTTCACACCACCTCCCTCACACCACCTCCCTCTCCCTCCACCACCTCCCTCACCCTCCACCCACCTCCCTCACCCTCCCACCACCTCCTTCACACCTCACACCACCTCCCT